AAGAAGAAGAAGAAGAACAACAACAACAACAACAACAACAACAACAACAACAACAACAACAAGTAGGAGGAGGCGGAGACGATTTGTCATCGATGTGTGTATTAACTGAGTATGAGACCTCTAGATATTTCTCCATGGAGGGGCAAAAGCTACCATTCGAACGAATTTGACTAATTTTAATTGTGACCTTCAAAGCAAAAGCATTCATTTTTCATGATTGCCAGTCGAATCGGTCGTATTGTGGGACAAAGGGAGCTTTTGCCCAGTCATGGTGGATGAGCACAAAATGTACTGTGTACTGTCGTGTGTCACCTCTGCCTCCTTTCACTTTTTCCCCCTTCGTTGTCCTTACCACAGAGCCAAATACTTCGCTTTTGCAATAATCCGGGGTTTTTTTTTTTCTTTTTAGCCATTCATTGTTAAATTCATGAATACCTCTCCGAAGGGAAAAAAATCCCTATTTTTCAAAACCAAACACACCGTTCTTACTTTGTTCCACAGAAGCGAATGATCACCAAGCTGGTACTGCGAAAGGATGAGCGAGGGCTGGGCCTGCACATCGCCGGTGGGAAAGGCTGTAAGAAGGGAGACCTTGGTATCTTTGTCGCCGGACTCACGGAGGGAGGAGCTGCGCTTCGGTACACACTATTCTTTTGTTTCTTGGTTTTGTCTTTGTTTAAGTGGGGGGGGTTTAGCTGGTGATTAACTTTAGCTTTTTCCCCCTTGTTGCTATTGTTGTTGTCGTCGTCTTTAGCATTGTTGTTGTTGCTGTTGTTGTTGTTGCTGCTGCTGTTGTTGTTTTTGTATGTAGTGGTGGTTGTCACTGTGGAGATTTTAAAGTATCATGTGTATGCGTGTGAATTACTTTACACTTAATACGTATGTCTTGCTCACAAGTGCGTCCCTTTCCTCCTTTCTTTACCTCTCTCCCTCCTATTCGCTTTACTGTTCCTCCCTCAACCTCCCTCCCTACCTCTCTCTCCCTCTATAACTCTCTGTCTCTCTGTCTCTCTCTCTGTCTCTCTCTCTGTTTCTCTCTGTCTGTCTGTCTGTCTGTCTGTCTCTCTCTCTCTCTCTCTCTCT